CTCACAGGACTCAGGGAAACACGTTTGCCAGTTAATTATAAATATTACAAATGATACAGATGAAGAGATGCACAGAGTGATGTATGCGGGAAGGGGTTCAGAACTTCCATGTCCTCCCCAGGTGCACCACACTCCAGGAACCTCCATATGCTCAGCTATCTGCAACTTCTCCATACCCTGTCCTCTTGGGCCTTTTATGGAGACTTCATTCGGGAGGCGTGACTGGAGCATGAACTGTGTAGAAATGTGACTGGACAAATGGGTATGATCTAAGAGAAACAGATTGAGTAGGGAAACCCAGCAAGGCCTGTCTGATCAGATTCTTCTTGGCCTCTGTCAAGCATTCCTTTCTCGCAGGCACAGGCCAGGAGCCCTTCTGAAATGAGGGCCTTAAGACCTACAATCAGACAAGGAAGGTCAGGGAAACTTCATGGCCGGCTCTAAGACAGAAGGTGAGGAAAAATTCCTTCCTTGAGGAGAAAAATGAGCAGGTTAAAGGAGGATAGAAGGTCAGGGGGAGATTCTGGTTTCTGAGGCCTAAAGGGCCCCAACATTATAAAAAGGGCCATGGGAGTTAAGAGCCAGGAATTGTGAACAAAAACAACTCTCTCATAATATGACACCATCACATTGTTCCACTGCCCTATAATCTATACATACGGTCGCTCTGGGATGCTGATTCCTCCACACAAAATGCTCATAACTCCTGTGGTTTTGGAAACAAGTACTCCTTACAGCAAAGAAGTGTCATCACTGAGGAATGAATGACGTTCAACATAGTCTTTGTTGTTTCACTGCTTTCTTATTTCTTCATGAAAAGGGAAACAGATAACATTCATTTTTTTGAACAAAAGCACAAGATGATGAGTAGACATTCTACCAAAGAAGGCATACCAACTTATTAAAAGTGGTAACGTTTTAAAAGACTATCCTTACTCTTTATAAGTAAAAATCTTGGACACAGGTGGTAGTAATACAAAAGGAAACAACCGCATTAATTTCAGGGCACACTTTAGTGTTATTTAAAAAGCTATAGGCCAGGCGTGATGGCTCACGCCTGTAATCCTACCACTCTGGGAGGCCGAGGCAGGCGGATTGTTTGAGCCCAGGAGATCGAAACCAGCCTGAGCAAGAGCGAGATCCCATCTCTACTAAAAATAGAAAGAAATTAATCGGACAACTAAAAATATATAGAAAAAATTAGCTGGGTATGGTGACAAATGCCTGTAGTCCCAGCTACTCGGGAGGCTGAGGCAGGAGGATCGCTTGAGCCCAGGAGAGTGAGGTTGGTGTGAGCTAGGCTGATGCCATGTCACTCTAGCCCAGGCAAAACAGTGAGACTCTGTCTCACACACACACAAAAAAAGCATAAAATCGCCTACCCTATGACTTAATAATAGAACTGCAAGATATTAACACAAAAGAAATGGAACATAACTATATAAAGAATTGTATTGAAATGTCTGTAGTTTTATTTATAACAGCCAAAAATGAGAAACAATTTAAGGACCAATAAACGAATGAATGAATATACAAACACTGGTATTTCAAACCATGTTATACTTCTCAGCAATGTAAAAAGAATGGACTACTCATATATTGTAATTGATGAATCTC